ATATTTGGAAACTTCGACTTCGATACGGCGCTACTGAAGTTTGCGAGTGAGCGGGAGAATTTCCTGGATGACTTGAGTTTTAGTGCTGGGGCAACACGACCTGCACCTCCCATGACAAATCCGAGAGCTTCGAGATTAAGAGTGGAAGATGCAGAAAATATACATAGGAGGAGTCCGACTTTAAGGAGCGTGGGTGGAAGTATAAGGAGAAGAATTAGTTTCAGAGATCTGAATAGTGTAAAGAGACAGCCTTCCATGGCTGGTAGAAGTAGTAAGTCTGACAATCTGCGTCTCGGTGCGGCACATATATTACATGCATTGCATACACCCAAGATGATTTTAACCGCAGCCCTCTCACATCTTTGAATACTCATGCTGACCATTACAACAGTGTCAGTTCGCACTTCGAGGCGCCTTAGCAATTACAATTCCGTCATCCCGCCGCCAGAGCCCCTAAATCTGGATCCTGATATGCACCCTTTAAAACGACGTTTTGAACCCGTTTTACTCGATAGATACCCACCAAAACACGCAACAGAGGAATTACCGAGGAGAGGTAAATTTCCCGATTATGTCCCTATGTTTGCATTTCCAAATGATATCAATATTGTTTCTTCGGACGAACGACCGCGATCAACCTGGCATGGATTTGCTATGACCTCAGATGACAATTCCAAAATATATGGAATCACTGTAATTGTCTGGAAGCCATTGGATCAAGAAGCGGCTGGAAATGTGGAACGAAGATGTGAGGCTTGGAGACAAAGCCATATGACAAACGAGGAACGAGAACTTGCGGCAAGTCTGGGAGAACGACTGGCTGCAGAACGTGCACACCTTTCACAGTTGCTAGCAAAATTGCCCAGTGTTGTATCTGGCTCAGCCGCTAGAGAACAGTTGGAGGAACAGATTAGCGCAGTGGAGGAAAAAATCACTTTGATGACTGATATGTTGAGGCCTGTCAGACACGGCGCAGCAGCTAAAATTGAAGGATTGACTGATGGCGAGACGGGGCTTTGGATACCCAGGGCATATGGAATCCTTGGCAGAGATGGAAGTATGACAAGCTTCTGGAAGGAATGGCTGAAGGCTGTTGTGGTACCAATGACGGATGGTGGAATCCTCCGAGTTCCTGCAAGTTCGCCAAAAATCGGTAGATGGCAACCCCTGGAGAGATATGTTGTCAACCTGTGTACCGAAGCACTGAGCCCGATATCTTCGAAAACTCAAATTGAAATTGCAGTGCGAGAACTACGACTCTTTGCGCGAAAGGAAGCACCAAATGAATTGCCAGATTCACGAAATACGGATATTTATGCACTATTCAGGGCTCTGAGTATACCCAATATTGTTGCTCTGGTGGAATTTATGTTGTCGGAATCTAGGATCATTTTACTGTCATCCCACACAGCTATGTTACATCTTGCTAGTAAAGCTTTGGTCAGTCTCCTGTACCCACTCAAATGGGCAAGCATCTTTATTCCAGTTCTGCCAGCTAGATTGATTTCTGCGCTGGAAGCACCTTGTCCTTATATTGTTGGAATTGAAAGGAGATATGATAATATAGAGCTTCCGGAGGATGATTATGTTTTCGTGGATTTGGATCAAGATACCGTTGAGTCGACTGCTCCACCTGTTTCACTACCACGACAACAGCGTCGAAAGCTTGTGTCCCTCTTGCAGCTGGCAGCTCCTCATCACAATAGATGTGGTGTGGAGGTAGCACCGCCACCCTATGCTGTTGAAACCTTTCCTTACGATGCATTTTCGTCGGAGAACGAATCAGTTTTCACACAGAATGCACCACCTGGGACTTTGGGTAAGTACGTTAGTCAGAACTCGACAACATTCGGAGAACCAGATCCACAAAAGATGAAGAGACCTTTAGTTTTCAATGCATTCTTGCAGTCGAAGAATGACCACACTCGTGTTGAGCGTCCATCGACTAGCGTGTCAAGTAAAACCAGTCCACCAACATCTTTATCACCTGTATCTGGTCACTGTCCACCAATGCCTACAACTCCTATCTCTCGAAACGATTCTGGGTTTGCTCTGACGGCTACTTTAAGAGAGAAGAGATCTGGTCACTTCGATACAAACTCGAGACGTAGTTCCTCATTTGGTCTAGAGCGACAGCCGACACTTCGTAGACCCAGTGCACCATTTGTCAATGGTCATTCAGCTAGTCTTTCCACTTCTGCTGTTTCCATTGGCGATAGCAACTCTAGTTATGGTTATACACCATCTGCTTATGCACCATCCGCCTATGCGGCCTCAACTATCGCTGCTTCAACAATCATGCCTAACATGCTCATGCAACCAGTTCTTAATACGGAGACAACAATATGGGTAGAAGGACATTGCTTTGTTTATAATGCCAACGACATGGGATCTGTGTGCTCCATATGTGATGAGAGGGCAGAGGACGATGGCATGTACACATGTAATGCTTGTAACACGGTATCACATGGCCGTTGTTTAGGTTGGTGTTCACTTGTCTGTCCAGCCGCCTTCCATGCAGATCGTGTACGTGCAGCTTTCGTTCGATGTTTCGCGAATTTGTTCTACACCTACAGAAAACATCTTGGTCGGCCATCGAAAGAACAAAAGTCATCTGGACAATTGTATGGTTTTGATTTAGCTGCATTCAAAAAGAGTCTCCCAAGTGATCAACAAGAATATATTGTAATGTTGGAGCAGACACAAGGTAATTTATTCCATGGTTAATATTGTGAAGTATACTAACGTTAAGATAGCATTCAATGAATTCATTCATGAACGGGAAACTAAGCAATCAAACGATCGGGATATTCAGTTATTCGACTCGATCATTCAAGCGAAGAAGTCTAGAGGACGCGCAGCATTCTTCTCTTCGAAAGCTTCACTTCGACCCAGTTTCCTCGAGGATACATCAGATCACTTATGGCGCTCCGCATTAGTTCCAGTACCTAGAGATGCTAAATTTCCTGGTGATTACAAGACGATTGTCTCTAGAATTCCAGCACAATTGGATATTGGATTGATGAAAGAGCCACGCAGTGTTGCAGGAGTGCCACGTATGGACATGCCAGGAAAAAGGGTAGGCCGTAAAGCAGTTCCGAGCATGCTTGGTGGAAGAGGAATTTGAGTATGAATAAATGGAAAGAATGGTTGCATACGAGAAAGATATGAGACGAGGCCGATGGATCCGAAATTACGATTGAAAGATTACAGATAAATACACGCCCGATTATAATTCAAAGGAAAGAATACGAAAGAAAAAGAAAGAGGAGAAGAAAGCGAGTCGATAATAAATTTCAATGCAAGATGCGAACGAGATGTGTAAGATATCCAAGCGAGGAGTTTAAAAGATTTTTTGATGTTTTGTTGTTGATTCTCTTCACAAGTCCATGGAGCGAGAGCCTAGTGGCGAAATGCATAGGGTGGGTAGGAATTGGTGGATGGATGGATGGATATCTGTGTGGTGTAAATAGGTGTTGAGTGGAAAGCAAACTTTTTGTTTTAATTCATTTTTGGGGGCGAAGTGGGTAGATTGTCCGGAGGGACGAGAGATGGGAATTAATATTTGGGGAGAAGCTGGGGAAAATAGAGGGGCAAGAGGGGAGGAGGAAAGACGAGCTAATGTGTTGGATTGTGAATTGGACTCAATGGCTGGATGGTTGAACGTCGTGTTGGGATATGATTTGATTCTGAGTGGCTCATTGGTTGATTGCATTATATTTTGCCAGCTTGAATTTTGCTCTCGAGAGCTTGCTCAATGCATAGATAATCATGCGTAGAGGCAGGGGAGGGGGAAACAGAAAAACATGGCGGATGATGAGATGTGAGGTTGGGTGATTAATGATGATGATGATAAGGTGTGGCGGATGAAGGAAGCTGGAAAGGGGATTAGATGAGTTGAGGCGAGATGTGATGAGGGGTATGGATGAGATGGTGAAGCGAGAGATAGAGGAGCAAATGTACAGATACAGTTACACAGAGAGAAATATTAATAGCGATACAGCAATACATCGAGATGCCAAGAAAGCAAGAAAGTATCAATTCAATTTCAACGCGTACATACATGCATACATACGTTTATGACTTGAAGTGAAAGGTAATGCAATACATAAGTATCATATTCGTGATGTTTTGAGATTTCATATAAAAATCCATCATCTACCTACCTAGCTAGGTATGTTTCGGAGCATAGCGAAAGAAACTTATGCGTTGGATTTTACAGAATTTTTGTATGACGTATATTAATTATACCTAGTATTTTCTATATCCAGGAATTCAATTTGTATGTGGTATGTGATTTATATATAGATAATTAATTATATAAAGAATTGGAAAAAAAAAAAAAAAAAAAAAAATCTAAAAACAAAGAATAAGCTTTATTTTCAGTCTGGTGGTCTTTAACTCATTTTTCCCTACCTAGATATCAAATGCTCCGAAACAGTGGTGAGCTACCTCGTTCTGAACTTGTTATCATATTCCAATTCACTAACCCCTATTATACATACATATACGACAAGTACAGAATCTAAACATCACACATCACACATCACACATCACACATCACACATCACACATCACACATCACACATCACACATGAAATTTACAAAGATCAAAAAAGAAGAATTCGGGTATTCTTGTATTCTTGTATTTTTATTCTCGTCCTGAGATTGAGTGGGTAGGTAGATAATTACAAAGGTTCTTCCTTTCTTTCCTTCCTCTCTTCTTCCCTTTCGTTTCGTTTCTTCATCCTCTCTTTTTTCTTTCTTCTTCTTCTTCTTTTTGAGAGGATAGAGGATAGATGATAGGTAGGTAGGTATTATTCCCTCCCCTTTCACATATCATATCATACCGCAAAGATCATTCTTTCTTTCTCTCCTCTCCTCTCTTCTCCCCTTCTTTCCTCCCTACCTTCCTTCCTTCCTTCCTTCTCGAATCTATCCTTCCTCCTCGTATTCTCCACACCCGCCAGATATACCCCCCCCCCCTCTCTGCCTCTCCCTCCAACAACTCTACCAACGGAAAAGTCTCCAGTGTAAATGAAAAAGGCCAAAAAAGCATAGATACTCCATTCACCATACATGGATGCATTTTTATTTGAGATAAGAAAAACCAAAAAGGAAAAGAAAAAAATCCATACTCCACTGCGATGAAACATTCGTAATACGGAATACGAAATTCGGTATTCAGAATTCTGGACTCGATTCACAAAACCCGTAGGAAAGCGGAAAACGGAAAACGGAAAAGGAAACGCATCCACCGTCTTACACACCCAACAATCGAATTAAAATGTAACGAGGGGATCGTCTCATCTCATCTCTTATCTTCACTTCTCTTTCGACTCCCAAAGCTAGAAGCTGAAAGCTGCCACTGAAGAGAGTATCCCATTTCTGTCCATTTCCAAACACCATCTATGTTTCCACAGAGTATTTGCGTAATGAAATGAGTACGACGAAACGAGTCTACAAATACAAACTTTGCGCCGCAACGATATCTCTCCTAATTTTCTTAAGCGACTCGTCGAATTTATTCGAAATGTCATCTGAGCCCATGACTTTTCCTGCTTGAGCCATTTGTCGGAGGAGTTCTTCAAGTCGACGGAAGAGTCGGATCAGAGATCCTTCGTAGACGTCGGTCATTTTACTATTGTGGTGTGTTAGTATAATTTTATCTCATCTCATCTCACATGAGGATCCTCAAGGAGGCTAGACCCAAGAAAAACCTACCAGATCTCCGCAAAAACTCTTCCCTTGTGCCCAGACGTAAACAACTTCCATTAGCTGCCACTTGAAACTAGTCACGTATTCTTCCTCATTCATCTTTAATTTACTCTCCGCGGTAACCTTAGCGACGATCCTAGCTTGAGCTTGAATTTCTCTGTATTTAGCAGCCAATTCCTCTTTGAGTGGAGGACAAATACTCTTTTCTTCAAAGATGAAAACCGACAGAACGGCTGCGCACATTTCCGGAGTCAAATCGTTGAAATAACCATTGAAAAGAAGTTCGGAAAGAAGAAGTTCATGGCCATCGCCTGTGGATGAGATTTCACATGCAACACGAGCCTTTAGTTCGACGACTTCTTGTTCGTTGATGAAGCCGAGACGACGTAGAACACGTTTGCGTGACTTAAGCTCATCGAGTTGCATGATGCTCAATGCGGAAGCAATGGCCTTGCGCTTCTCTTTGATTTGTTTGGTAAATTCGAGTTTACCAGCATATTGATTATAGAGATCTGGAAGACGGGGTGAGTTGTGGAGGGGGTTGGAGAGTAGACGAGATTCAAGAACTTCAATCTTGCGAAGAAGTCTCTTGAAGGAATCATCTGTAATGCCCATATTCTCGATTGGGTCAAGCACTGCGATACCATCTGGGAAACGACGTTTGACTTCCTCGAGAGACTTGCGTACTTGATTTCGTTCATTGGCTGGGTGAAGATCCTTCGGAAGGAATATACGGACATGTCCAATGGCTTCAACACATGATAAAAGTACAGGAACAATTTCCATCTTGCCTTTGTCGCCTGCACCAGGTGGTGTGATGCCTAACGGTAGGTCGTTTTGTGTTTGTGTAGTAACTGTACTGTCCGAAGAAACTTGCAGAAGCACATCAAGGATGAATGCTTGTTGTGGAGGAAATTCTTGAGCAGGTCCTTTAGGAGGTCGTCTTGCTGTAAACTTCACAACTGCTCCCCAGCCGAAATCATGATCTTGATGTTTGATGTGAACAACCCGTCCTGGTTGCATGAATTGAAGACAGTAGTTAGGGTGATTAATAACATCACGCATGTCCTTGGTATATGTGGTAAGCTGTTGTCGAAGATCGAAGTAATCCTTAATTGATGCCTCATCTGGAATTTGAACTTCATCCCTCGCAATTTGCAAGTCTTGAAGTTCCTTTTCGAGACCAGTAACACTCGAAGTGTTCTGGAATTGGTAGAAACAATGTTCCAACATAAATTCTGGTGAGATTCCTTCCAGACGCATCAAGTTAAGAATCATGTTATAACCAAGGTAGAAAGCTGAATTGAGCTTGTCCTGCTCTCCACGTACAATTGTCTTGGCACTCTCTGGCTCCATTTTGTCGTTGATCATCATAATGACAATACCTCTATCATCAAGACCACGACGACCGGCACGACCTGACATTTGCACGAACTCAGATGGCGTCAGGTATCGCATCTTCTCACCATCAAACTTCTCAACGCTAGTGAATACTACAGTCTTGGCAGGCATATTCAGACCAATGGAGAAAGTTTCTGTAGCAAAAAGAACCTTGATCAAATTTTCCTGGAACAAGATTTCGATGGTTTCCTTGAGAATAGGAAGAAGTCCAGAATGATGCACACCGATACCACGTCTCAACAATGGCAAGATGTGTTGAATTTGCGGTAGGGTCCTATCCTCTTCCGAGAGAGACTCGATTGCACTCTCGAAGACCTTTGAAACCATGTCTTTTTCGGATTGATCGTTAAAAGCCATGGAGCTCATCTGTAATGCATATGCCTCGCACTCTCTTTTACTGAAACTGAAAACAATAACAGGATTGTAATGCTTCAACATGATCATTCTGACAATCTTGTAAATATCAGAACCTTCCTTGTTGGCACCCTTATTGGTCTTCTTGTCTTTGCCACGTCCCTTCTGTTTCGCGTTGATGTCTGCTGGATCAGCCCCTTTCTTATCCTCTATTGTTGCCATGGCCTTTGAAAAGTTATCCTCCCTGAAGTTTCCCTTCTCATCAACAATCAAATGTATACCATCTGCACCAGCTGGGAAGAAGTAGTGTTGTAGAGGGGTAGGTCGGAAATCGGTGTAAACAATGTGACATGGCTGGTTGTGAGTTTTCGTGATCCATTCAGCAAATTGCATAGCATTGGGAATAGTCGCAGACAAAAAGACATATCTGACCTTGTCTGGTAACAAGATGATCGTTTCTTCCCAAACCACACCTCTGGATTTATCTCTCATATAATGAATTTCATCAAAGACAACCCATGCGACTTCACGCATAATCTCGGATCCTCGATACAACATAGATCTTAAATCTCGGTTGTCATAACCAGACAAGTCGCGGTTGGGTTAATTGTAACATCTCCAGTCATTAAACCAACATCTCCAAAATCCGCAGTAAATTCTCGATATTTCTGATTACTCAAAGCTTTAATAGGACTGGTGTAAATGACTCTCTGGTTGTTTTTGAGACATTGCGCAATCGCATATTCTGCTGTAACAGTCTTTCCCGCACTGGTATGCGCCGAGACCAATACACTCTCATTTCTTTGAATTGATGCAATAGCAACTTTCTGGAAAGGATCCAACTCGAATGGCCAAGTTCTAGCGGGTTCGGCAGGAGCTTTGTGCTGCGATATTGGAATGTATTCGTAATCGGGAGGTAAAGAAACTTGATGTTGAATGTTGTGCTGTAAAACCAATGCTGTTTCTTCTGGGGCACCTTGTAATCCTGCTGAAGCAGCTAGCTCTCGCGATTGTGCTGTCTCGAATGTATCTGTAACTACCGGATCGGCTTCTGTGTCTTTTCTGCGTCGTTTAGCGTCCTTCTTTGCTTCTTTAATTTCGTCATCTTCTTCAATATCCTCTCCTCTACATCTGCTTCTACCGCTGGTTCCTCGGAGTCTACCATCTCAGCATCCACATCTTGCGCATCAGCAATTGGCTTTACATCTCCGTTCGCATTTCTCTTCTTGCTGCGATCTTTCTTGTCTTTCTTTGCCTTTTTAGGCCTGCTGGGAGCAGCTGTCTGGGGCTTATCGTCGAAGGCGTCAAATAAGTCGTCCATGATGAATGATATCCTACCACATTAACCAAGATGCAAAAGGCAATTGTGGTTTGTTGATACGTTTTAAATGTATCAAAAAGTACCTGGTACAAGGTGTGAAATAACAAAGATATTTTTTTATTATCGCTTTCCGCTCCGGGCACTATCTCAGATAACCTTGGAAAGTCCCATTCTTTATTGAGCCTTAGGCATTAAAATTTCTGGTTTGATTGTCGGCTAGTGCCAAACCGAGCTTCAATCAAAATCATTCGATTGACTGTTTACCAAAAATACAAAGCAGAACTCAATTCTTCAAGGTAAGGCTGCGCTATCACGACAGCCGCAAGAGAAACGACTAACAGATCATGATAGATGTTGTCTAGAGCCGCCGTCCGCGCATCCTCCTCCACCTCAATGGTCGCCCGCCGTGGCTTCCACTCTACCCGTGCTCAAATGGGTTCTCCATACCATTACCCTGAGGGACCACGAAGCAACATTCCATTCAACCCAAACACAAAATTCTTTGCTTTAAGATACTGGGGATTCATGGCTCTTGGATTCGGTAAGTTAGGACAGCAGTCCGGCTGAGGGGCATGGAGGCTGAAGGGAACCACACTAATACTGGGTTTAGGTGCTCCATTCGGCATTGCAGTCTGGCAAACAAAGAAGAACCAATAGAGGGTTGTTTAGGTGTGCGTTGCATTGGGAGGACAGTTATGAATCGATTGGCATTTCAAAGCTAGAAGGGTGGGGGAACGATTGTGTATACAATACAACAGTTTTCACGGACATGACTTCATTCTCTATATTGGTTATGATGGCCTCCCAATGTACTAGTCTTTATCGCGGCTTCTTCAGGGCCCCCATGTGACTCTCATGGTCAATTTATACCCATAGAACTAACTCGCGGCTCCTCAAAGATACTTTCTCACCCTAGATCAAGCGATTAGAAGACAGCCCTTCATGTCTCTAATATAGCACCACCTTATTAGACATTCCCCTCAAGCCTGCACTTTGACCTTGGTATCAAAAGTATGCCTGTCTGCTGCTTTCAAAGCGAAACATCCCTTGAATTCTTCTTGGGCTCCCGATAGCTCTGTCATTGCACTCTTCATATGATCAGGATCAGCTCCATTCTGAACCTCAATACTAGCAGTCAAAATCCACTTGTCTTCGGCATCAAATGGCTCCAACAATTCGAAGGGAGGCAACCTGCTATTGACTTTAGGGCGTGAGCTACCATCAACTTCTTGGAACTCCGAAGGGATTTCAAAGTAGCGACTAAGTGTGAAAACTATATTATTATGAACAGTTCGGTGACTTTCTTGAATAATCTCCCGTGTGAATCTACTTGATGATCAATAACTGTAGATGATTGGTTGGTAGTAATTTCAACGTACCGGTGACTGCTTGCGTGAAGAAGTCTACATAATGACTTTTCATTGTCTATCGCAATGAACATTCTGCTATTCACGACGGCAGCATTGGCTGGATCTGGAAGATCGGTCCATCTCAATGTACCTGGCACCTCATCACATGGGAGAAGACCCCTGGTTGAAGTCAATAAGTATTTTGTCAAGAGATTGAAAGCCGTCTCCAAAGATCACATGGTGTGACATGCAATCAATGAAAAGTATGTACTTACGGTTGACCTTCTCCACCATCAACCTCCTTTGCTGGTTGACCAAATTGATTTTTATCCACATCATATATCAGAGTCAGAACATAAGATTGACGAATCAGCTGCTCGTTGAGTGATTTCCACCAGAATTGTTTATTCGGCGGTTGGGCTTTCAGAAAGGAAGGGTCAAGACCTTTCAAATTGTTTCGACTTCGTGGACCTTCGAATACTAATCGGCGACGGATAAAGTGCTGGGGTATCATGCCACAATAGCCCTGGAGCACACGGAGAGAATGGGATACATCTTCGCTATCCACGGACGCCGAGAGGAATAATTCATGCATGGTGATTTACCCAGGAGGTAGGCTGACAAGGATTGAGTTTGGGGGAAGGCCGAAGTACGGAGGTGGAAAGAAAATGTTTGATGGGGTGGAGGTGGGAGGGGGGTGTAAGTTTTTGCTTATTGTGGTATAAATTTGGGTGAGTGAGATGAAAATGAGGGAGAGTTTCCGTGGCCAGATTACTTTCGAAACGTGTTGTTGCAGTGGTGATGGGTAGGTAGAAATCAAATCAAGGGCCTTGTGCTCAAAATATGATGACCGTACAGATGAGAATCTCAAGGGAAATAAATATATCCTTTTCCAGTCGTCAATTCCCATCCCCCAGATATACACCAAGCTATTGAATTCTTTGATATGGAACGAATGCAAGCTAATGATTTCTTTGCTGTCACTCTATCAACATTTCCCCAGACCACTCCAGACTACTAGACCAGACAAGGCTGTCGAGGCTGACAGAGTAGGTAGGTAGGTAGGTAGGTGGCAGATAGACGGAGGGGAACTCAGATAGACGGAGGGGAACTCAGATAGACGGAGGGGAACTCGGATAGACGGAGGGGAACTCTTTGAACTTTACTCGCACTGGTACGGGTACTTGGGATGATAATAATTTACTTCAAAAGTACCGAGTAGTGATAGTACATAGTAATTGGTATAGAATCAGTTAATGAACCAATGAAATGATTATTCTCTCGCTTATGTTCGGATTTGTCCCTGCATAACCCGAATTACTACCATGTAAGACTACTACTACTACTACTACCTACCTACTGTGTACCCATCCAGAGGAAAAGAATCCTCGGTCGGTCCATCAGATCATCTAAAAATATCAGATGTTATTGTTGTATCGGCAGTCCGTTGAAAATTCAAACCTTGGCTTATTATGACTTGACTTTGGACTGATTAGCTTGTGAAGAGCATCTCTACCGGCCCAACCGACCGACCAACCAACCAAAACAGCCATCAAGCCATCAAGCCGTTTAATCTATCAAATGTCACCTACCTGGGCGTGCATTAGAACAACCCTACTACTACCCTACTACTACCCTACTACTACCCTACTACTACCCTACTACTACCCTACTGTCCACATACCACACGCCCTTCCTGCAAAGTGAAGCCTCTTTCATACATAATGTGACAAGGAATCTGGGGATAGAAATGATCAGACACCATTTACATACTTTGTACTTTGGACATACATCGCATCCTTGACATTATATACCTAGTAGTACTTTATACATCACGCCATTAACTAGCATGTGTCTGCAACCATCGTCAGCCAATGAGCATGCAAGAATGGTTGCGCGATAAGGAAAAAGCAGATGATTGATAATTTGATATCGTCTGAGGAATTCGAAATAAATGCTCCATCGGAAGTGGCCTTTATCAATGGCTAACCCCGCACCAACATAGACCTTTTTTTTACAGTGGTATTCTATTAAAGACGGTTGGATTTTCTACTCTTCTGTGTCTGTTACAGATTTCCCCTCTTGAAAAAGGACATTTATTCATTGTTGTTTCTTCAATTTGTTCAGAGAGAAAGAGATATAATATATACACACACCACACAATCACTCAAACCATCCACAGCTTCACATACCTAATCACCATATTTTCTTTTTAAATCAACCACCACCATTTCCATATCTGGTTACTAGCGGACGCCTATCTATTTCCCCCCATCCACTCATCCATCCGATTCCCGAATTCTCGTCCCACTTACCACACGCTACGAGTACACCATCCCCAAGACTAAAGCTTTCCATTTCCCAATCTCTTTTTCTTTTGACAACTTGACAACTCAATCTCCAGCAAGTCAAACAGTCAAACACAGAGGCCGACGACGATCCTGATTTCCTTCTCAAGGTCGCACATCTTCTCAGTATTTGCAAACTCTCTTTGTGATTACTTCAATCTTTCTCAACCATCAAGATGTTTGCGACCAAGGTTCTCCGTCAAGCTTCTGCTGCTGCTGCTCACGCTGAGCGCACTCCATTGATAAGGTTCATGGGCAAGCGATCAATTCCTTGTATGTATCCTAATTTGCAATCTGCTCGGTAATTCATTCTAACAGTTGAAATAGCTTCGGTTGATCACTCTGCACGACCACATCCAGCATCCCCAACCCACGAACTTCCAGCAGGATTCGCTGAGGCTCAAAAGTCTTCCTCCTCTTCCTTCTCTTCCTACAGACAAAATGCTCAACAACATGGTCCACTTGGTCGCAGCGCCAGAAGTGACGGTACAATCGGTTCTCTCTCCGGTAGAGCTTTAGGCTCCGTTGCTCCAACCAAGGGAGAATACTTCGATCGCAGTGAACTCCCTGCACGTTTCCGACGTACTTCAATTGATCTTGCCGAGATTGATGCCATTGAGACTGGTGGTGCTACACTTGTTTGCTAGATTTGAAACTCAAAATTAAGGAAGAAGAAAATTATTTGTACATTTACGGCAGGCTACGGAAAAGTGATGGATCGAGGAAGAATATACCCACGAAAACAATGGATTTCATGAAGATTCTGTAATAAGATGGATGAATATCAATAAGCTATCTTTCAGGACAGAGTGGAATAAGCTCAACGCCAGTTTTTGAGAGTTTGGGATGTACAAAAGGGCTGCAGTTGGGATCAGTGGCATGGAAAAGTTGCTTTTATGGGAGTCGGAGCATGTATCATCTTTCTATTGGAATAATTCCGATCTTGATCTTTACTCTGGAGTATGGATTTCTGGGAGTTCTTTTGAGGGTGGCTCTCTGAATTGTCATGAGCTGAGTTGAAGAAATCAAGAATAACAAATAAATATTAAACCAAATAAATCAAATACAATGATCACGTGCATAAATAATCATGATTCTAAACTACCTACAGGACCACAACTCCTCGAGTTGACTTTCTCCATCCTGTGCTGTTCTCTTTTAGATGATGCACATTCATGATATCAAATGACGATCTGGTTCCTGAAATACATACAAAAATATCCTTTTCAGAGTTCGAATGACCACTACTCGCTAAGAATGATTCCTACCCATTACATCGCGTCACCCATTTATCTACAACCAATTGATACTTACCTACATTCAAAATTGCCTTCTCCCCTCATAAACAGTCCCTCTTAATCAATCAAATCATCTGAGCCCGGAGACCATGTCAGGATCAGAAGAAATCAAAGAGATAAACCAATCCGGTAAACTCATCGCTACATACATTCGCTCTCATACTACTGATACTTCTGGCACGAAATCTGACCGGATCGATGTCGATGTATGTGTTGTTTCTTTCTATCTGTATATGATGTGTCTCTTGATAGATGAGAGGATCTATTAGATTGATGAATATTGAAACTTGGAAATAGATACCAAAAGGTCCATCGACATGGGTTATGAGCTTGGTAGGGGCATTCATGCCGGTGGGATATCCGGATAGTGTGACGGAGGATTATACTGCGTGGGTTTTCTCTATCTTTTTTTTTTTTTGCGTGGGATACGTGAGGGGTCTGGAGTATGAAGAGACTAATGGATTATATTGTAGGTATCAATTTTATGTAAGACACCTTAGTTGGGTGGAGGAATAGGGGGGAGGAAATGCTGATGAGAGAAGGATTCTATTCAGGCTTTTGCTAGTACGATTGCGGGGTTGTTGGCTAGTAGGGCTGTGCTTCAAGGTATGAATGAGGTGAAGGGTTCTTTTGTTTGGAGGTGGGGGAGAGAGGGGTTCCTTTTGTTATGGGCATCTGAAGAAGGAGTTTGTTTTTGAACTCGTTGTTATGAGTTGTTGTAGAGTGTTGTCACAACTCTCTATCTTGACATGCCCTTATTCCAACATCACCACAAGCCTTGATCTCAAAAACACTCCAAATCTAACCCATCCCAGGTCTCGGCGTAGGCGACTCCACAGCCTCAGCAACCCACGCCGTTCTCCTCTCCATCCTCCAAGAATCCGCAGGCCGTATCTCCACCATCCTCTTCGCGCACCGACTCGGCAGCGCTCTCGAGCCCGAGTGCAAAAAATATCGTCTCATGGCTGATATTTTCAACGATGTTGCTATGATTCTAGATTGCATCTCACCTGCTTTTCCCAAAATCCCCCGCGTGTTTTTACTCAGTGCGAGTAGTGTGTGTAAATCACTCTGTGGGGTTGCGGCGGGAAGTAGCAAGGCGAGTTTGAGTGCGCATTTTGCGAAGATGGGAAATTTGGCAGAGTTGAATGCGGTGGGTTTTCTTGCTTCTCGTGATAGATAGATAATGGATGGAATGGTACTAACAGGAAGATAGAAAGATGCAAGTCAGGAAACTCTCATATCCCTCCTGGGTATGCTCGTTGGAACATTTGTCGTTTCTAGAATTTCCTCTCAGGTAGCCACGTGGATCGCATTGCTCTCTCTCCTTTCCATTCATCTCGGTACGAACTATATGGCCGTCCGATCCGTCACCATGCGTACCCTCAACAGACAACGAGCCAATCTCGTCATCTCATCTTTCCTCTCAAACACAGGACACGAGAAGAACAAAACTGGCCTCCCTTCCCCTCGAGAAATATCACTCCAAGAACGCATTTTCGAGCGCGACGGCGCACTTCGCAACATCCAAGGCGCAATCCTCGCTTACTGTAAAGTCGGCACAAGTCTCCAAGAACTACTCTCTTCAATCTCCACACCCACAGCTGCAGGAAATTATGCACAAAATGATCCAATCCTCACATCTCTCCTATCCATCTACAAATCTCAGGGTTACATAATGTGGTATTCCCCTTCTCGCCATACATTCCTCGTTATCCTGAAAGAAGGAACCGCACCGCAAGTTCAATTAGACGCGTGGTTCCACGCTATTTTCGCCGTCACTTTTAGGGAGGAGAAGAAGAAGATCCGTGAATCTGAGAGTGAGAAGATGGATAATCAAAATATTCTAAATTGGATGAAGCAATCGCTAGAGGAATCGGAGAAGTGGAGAGCGGAAATGAAGTTTTACGAGCGGTTGGAGAGGATAGGGTGGGATTTGAATACCCCGGCCATTGAGGTGACAGCGGGAACGAGATTGGTTGTTGGAGGTGGAGAGGAGAGGGGAGAGTAGGAGGTGGGAATCGTAAATTGACGGATCAAAATAAAGTCTTGGGTGGTACTTTGACGGTAAACATGAATTCTAATACAAAGCACCTTTGTGCTAGAGGAAGGTAGACTTCAAAACTTGGAAATATCACTCCACACCACTTCACCCAACCCAACCCAACCCAACCCATTAAAATTCAAGCCCGCATATGAAAAATAACCGCAGCATCTCTCTCGGAAATATCATTCTCGTTCTCATTTTCCTTCTCATTCCACGCCCTTCATGTATTCATTCAGTGTCAAGTCACGCCAAAAGAAGGAATACCTAGATAGAGTAGATTCTCCCATTGAATTTAGAGACAAGAGAGGAGAGAAAGGAGGGAGATGATTGTCAAATGCGAGTTTGATGAAGTTTGGATATTGGATGGGTAATTGAAAACTATTATACTCCGTTTCGTGTATTGGGTGCTGATACTGTGGACACCGATTCTAAATGACGAGGTTTTATGTTCTTGATTTATTTAGTATAGATTTATTAGACTGTACATATATATATATTGTACAGCTCAACCGGAGCAGAGAGTATGTCCTTTGAAGTCAGATTCAAAGAGTACATCGGTATACAAACACCGTAACACCTATAATTTACAATACAATGCCTAGCTTTCCATTTTGTCCCTCTCAATTCGTTAATCGTACATCGTCTCCTTTACGTCTTAGCTTTCGATACCAAAGTCTCTATGAAGCCTCAGATGGAAGAAATAGGCATTCGAAAAGCTTCAGATGATATACACTCATCCGATGATGTTGGGCGCATGTCTCCTGTGTTCTGAAGCCATGGCAGAATATACGTTCTGGCCTGTGTCCCGTCTGAAATTATATCGAACTTGAATCGGACCTTCTCCTAGACATAAGATAGGTCTCATGAAAGTTGTCATGTCCGTCCATCTCCACTTACTACAAGCTGTGACCGTGGCGCATGATGCCGGGTTTTTATTACACTCTCAACCTCCCCATTCCCTCATTTTCCCAACGTAAAGCTCTAGTTGAATACCTTCCAAGCTCTCATCTTCCATCCTTCTAAGGTATTCAATTTTGGTCGAACATCCAAAAAGAAATTCAGCTTTCCACTTCCGTCGGGTGAAGCTTTGCCTGCGTAAAAGTCTATGATGTAATCAACTCTCTTGCCGCATCGATCAACAACCCAATCGTGACGGTCAAAGGGAGCGGTATATCCAAGAAGTGTATTGAATCGAGCTTTAGGCGAAAGGGTTTGCGAAAGTCCGAGGAAAGAATGAAGACGAGGTCCACCACATCTATTGAATTTATTAGTCTACATCGTGTCACAAACTTCTCAAAGAAGGACATACTTCTCGCTTCCCCACCCTGCCTCCCACTCTCTAATTTCTTTCCATGCCCTCTCATTCACAGCATTATGAATCGGCACAATAGTTTTCATATCTGCATCGTCCGATTGATGACCTTTGCGTTTCATGGCTTCAAAAAACATTTTTTCACTAGGATAGATCCAATTTCCGGATGTAGAAACACCAGATTCAGATTCGGAATTCGCGGGATGAGAGGTTGAAGGAGACGAGGACGAGGGGGTATCATTTGGAGTAGGAGATGCGCGAGGAATCGTGGAGATTTCACGGTCGAGTCCTAGGCGGGGTGGAGAAGTTGCGGATTTGGGAGTTGATGGCGGTTGAGAGGGCGTAGATGATGCATTATCCCAGAAGAACAATCGGGAAAAAAAACTTGAAGGTGTATGTGTAGGAGGAGTGTTTGATCAATGTGAAGAATCACAACTTGGACCTGGTTTTGATGGAGGGTTGCGCCTGGGAAAGGTGGTTTGGTGGAATTGTTTTTTAGCCATGCTGCACGTTGTGCATGATCGACGGGACAGGCTTCTATTCTTGGGTTGACTCGTCTTTGGACATCTTTGGTGGTTGTGTAGATTATGAGGATATACTCTACTCTGGCTCAAGTGAGGGAGGGGTGATTGTTAATGCAAATAAATTGAATGGGTCGAATTATCAAAATAATTATTTTGCCTTATCCGCCCGGTGACCGATCTTAACCCCACCTTGAATTTGCTCTGCTGATTGGTCAATCCTGGTACCCTTGCTACGGATTAACTGTTATTGACCGCCCTTTGACATTTTGCAATCAGGAAGGGACTGGGGTTTGTTGTCAAGAGGAAGTCTATTTCCTAAGAAGGGCACGATTGAAATGTTGAAAATAAATACTCTGGTGTATCCTTTCGAGAAAAATCAAAAATAAATTCCAACTCTCCATATTTGATTCCAAAATCCCTTCAGAATGTCAGACACAAAGCTTATCAGCCAGTACAACGGCTCCAGTTAATATCGCAGTCGTCAAGTAAGTAAAGCTACCCCTCTCTCTTCCATTGTACTTCTTTACTTCATGCATTGGTCCACACTAAGAAACCTGCACTGACATATTCTCTCACCAACCAGATACTGGGGAAACGCGATGCAAAAACTAAACCTCCCAACCAACTCCTCCATCTCTGTAACCCTCTCTCAAAATGATCTCCGCACTCATACCACCGCTTCCTGCTCCCCCACCTTCACCGAAGATTCTCTCCTCCTCAATGGCTTTCCCCAAGATATCTCCAATGCCCGCACTCAAGCCTGTTTCCGCGAGCTTCGCTCTTTACGTTCCGCACTCGAAGATTCCGATGCTTCGCTCCCAAAACTCTCCTCTTACCCCTTGAGGATCATCTCGGAGAACAACTTCCCCACAGCTGCAGGTCTCGCTTCTTCCGCTGCTGGTTTCGCAGCTCTGGTTAGAGCTATCGCCAACTTGTATGAATTGCAATCTAGCCCTACCGAACTCTCGAGAATCGCAAGACAGGGAAGTGGCTCTGCTTGTCGTTCTTTGTTTGGAGGATATGTGGCTTGGGAGATGGGTCAAAAGGAAGATGGTTCTGATTCCGTTGCTGTCGAAGTAGCACCTGCTTCTCACTGGCCCAACATGCGGGCTCTTATCCTCGTTGTTTCTGCCGAGAAGAAGGGAGTTTCCAGTACCTCTGGTATGCAAATTACAGTCGCGACATCGAAACTTTTCAAACAGAGAGCAGACAATGTGGTTCCAGAACACATGAAGGAAATGGAACGGGCAATTAAGGATAAAGACTTCGAGCGATTCGCAAAGGTTACTATGATGGATAGTAATAGTTTCCATGCAACATGTTTGGATACTTTCCCACCCATTTTCTATTTGAATGACGTTAGTAGAGCAGCAATCAGAGCCGTGGAGGATATTAATAGTGCCGCTGGAACGACCGTTGCGGCATATACTTTTGATGCTGGTCCAAACGCTGTTATTTATTTCGAGGAGGAGAACCTTGGATTAGTAGCTGGTACATTGAAGACTGTCCTTGCAGGTGTGGACGGATGGAATGGAAAGGACGTTGAGCGCAAGGCTGCAGAACATATTGATGAGAGAGCCCGGAAGGTACTCCAGGATGGTGTCAGTAGAGTAATTTTGACTGGTGTTGGTGGAGGACCCGAGAAGACTGAGAAGCATTTGAGCGCTTGAATTAGAGACGATTAGTTAATGTTGGAATCACGAAGAAAGGGCGAACATAAGAGTTAGCGAGTGCATTTGTAGATAATACCCTTGCAGTCAGTAAATACATTTGAAGCGCTATCACAACACACGCCTTTATATCTATCAACCTCGTTGGATTTTATAGAGAAGTGTGGGAAAAGACTAATAGTGGTAGTGGTCAGACAAGAAGCTAGATCACAGCCACCTTTGCAAGCGAGGTCTGCATGACGCAATCCTATCCTCAGAAGTACTTCGATACCAAACCCACAAACTAAAAATGGCACTCGCCAGCACCAACTGGAAAATTATTCGAAAATACTACGGTAGATTTGACAATTGACTGCGGCAAATCATAATACCGACATATTACTTTTCCAGAAATATACAATTGCATATCATATCAGTCCTTCATCATTCTATTCGTAAACATCCAGCACAATTAAGACAATCCAAATCAGTGCACATATATTTTTGCAATTATGCTCAATAATACATGTGTAATTCTCCTATGAAAAGATTAATGGGTATTTAACGCGCACTATGCATACAAATCCTGAACAACAGATCCCGAACACCCCTCAGAAACAAGAATAGTACGAGATAGCTACTAACTATGAGTAAGACTAACGAGCCGATTACTCAAGCCGATTACTCAAGCCCTATGGAACCAATGAATCAAGATCGCAATTATACAAAACGCAGAGCCTAGGATCTACCAATCCCTTGCATCATACTCTGCACAGTTCTGAACTGCGAATTCTCCTCCTCTAACCGCGTATTCCTCGCTTGCAGTAGAGCAAGTTGATCAAGTAGACCCTTATCCCCATTCGACTGTTGTATGACCTGAGACCGCAGATTAGCAGACACAAGTTGCTGTTCCTGCAATTGTCGTTGAAGATCACTCTCGGTGCTTTTCCGAGATACTGCGTCCTGTGCTCGATCGTTGCGTTCCCTGGTCATAGCTTCGTTCAATCCCCTGTATTTTGCTTTGAGAAGATCAAACTCCTTGACCTCTTGAAGTGTGGCCACACCTTCTTGGCTCTTTCTCATCCTCGCGTCGTCTTTGAGCTTAGCGATTGTTGTTTCCAGAGTGCCAATCGTAGCCTTCAGAGGCTTGGTAGATTCCTCAACGGCGCGAGCAATCTCACTAGCTTTGGTATCGTCGATTTGAGCCTGGCTGACGCGAGAAGCACGTAGTATATCTCGTTCTTGTCGTGCTTCATCTCGTTCTTTCTTGAGCTCAGCAGCTTTTGTAACAAAGCGTTCATGTGCTGCTTTGTATCGGTGAAGTTTGTTGGTTGTTTCCGCACTATCGAGTTTGGTAATGTTGTGCGCATCTTGTTCGGCCTTTAATTCCCGCTCTAGCTTAGATATCTTTTCGTGTAGACGCTGTATCTTGGCAGACCACTCACTTCGGACCTTGTCTGGTTCTTTCACTGCTTTATCGAGTTTCTCTTTCGTCGTCACTAATGCAGATTCTAGCTTGCTGTTCTCAGTTCTGAGTGCTTGTTCTCGATTGTCATGGACAACATATAGATGCTTCATCTCGGTTTCCTTTTCAGCTATATTTCGTTCCTTAGCGGCGATTCTCTTGCCCAATGAGATTATCAAGTCGTCCTTGGCTCTATCTTCAGCTTCTTCTTCTGACTTTTCATGTTCTTCGGAAGAGTCTTCAGCGTTTGTTTCAATGGCAGCTCTGATGTCCTTGATGGTAACTTTACTTTTTAACACCTTCTCCTTCGGATCCTTTCTAACTAAAGCCAACTCAGTATGACCTAACGATATCAATCTGTCTTTCTCCTCCTGGCGCCATTGTTTCCTCTGTTCCGGGGTCTTTGTCACTAGAGGATACCCGTTCTCAAATCTCTTCGGCTCTTCCTGTCCTGCCTTTACTTGTGCTTCAATAGCCCGTTTTACCCATTCTGGTGGAACTATTTCGTTGTTTCCTCCATGATACTCGAAAGCTTTTGCAATATATCCGATCGAAGGGTATGATTTTGGGACCGGGGTGTCTCTCGAAATTACGAGGAGTGTTGCAGCCTCGTCGCTAGTAAATGTAACATTGGCGTTATTCTTTACGGCTAAGCACAGTCGCTGGAATTGGTATTGATAGAGGGAATTTTCAGGCTCAAATACAGCCACAACCATGCATTCTTTTTTAGATGCGTTTCTCGGCATTCTCGCCTCGCGCTCTTTGGAAATCGGCAATGATAAACCTTGAGCAGTAAGAACACGTGCTTCCCTGCTGCTCAAAGTGACATCGACTTGCCAAAGCTTCGCATCATTGAGCCTTTCAATAATTGAAACTGAACATAGATACCGCTCTTTCGCAAGCTCTTCTCTTCCTCCTGGAACAACAAAGCAGGGTTTTGAAGAAATCGAAAGTTCTTCTGCCAAATTTATGCCTACATTCTCGCTATAATCCTTAAATGGATCCCGCTGATAATCCAAGCAATGGGTGCCGTCCATATATCTTCTCTCAAAGATAAAGAACCACGTGAGTATGTCGTCCACGGGTACGTTCGAGTATGATTTTAGGTACGACGTATCACGAAAAGATGTGTATTTCCAGGCTTCGACTTCACGTGGAGTCAAGAAAAGAGTCTGACCAGAGTTTGCAGCTTCAGAAGCCTTCTTTGCTATAGTAGTTCGGATGACTTCAGTGTCCTTAGCCATATTTTTTGGCCCCGGAGGAAACATTCGACAGCAGTTATCCAGCCAATTCGCCTCCATGATGGACAATGTCGCATGGGATTGCGTTACGAAAGCATCATGCACCTTTCTCGTGATGCTGCGTTTAATTTTCCTTTCAAATGCCGGAATAGCCAATTCTTCTTCATAGTAATCATCCATGGTGAAGCTGGCAAATGACAACTAGCATGCAGCGAGATCGATAGTTGATTATAAGTTGGGTTCGAGTCTTCAGTGGAGGTAAATTATTATCTTTGAAGGGAAGGCTTTCAAATTAGTGAGCAAGAGTTATGCAATAAGTGACAATTGAGAGCGCTGTGTAAAAAGATGAGCTATATGGAGATGGGCCAGAGAAGAAAGGCAATAGAATTCAGGTAACTGAAACAAATTGTAGAATAGTTGAAAAATTCATGGATTATGCTATCAAACAAGTTTGAAGGGAGGGTGAGAATTTGCTAAGTTGTGGAGAAAAACTTGACAAATTGCAAAAGATGAACACATTCAAACAAAAATAGATCGGGTTTCTCCGGGTCGGGTACTAGCCCTTTGATTGAAATGGCTGTATTGAATTCACTGTGGTCAGATTTTGCTAAGACTACTATCTTCTCAGGTTTCTAGGATCAGAGTACAAAGTAGTAGAAGGATGTTATCCGAGAAGTTGTGAAGCTATAAAGCTGTCTTGGTAATGTACGAATCAATAATTAATAAGTGTTTTTTATTGGCTTTGATACAAAGTAACTAAAGACAGGGCTTGAGAAGAGTTGCTGGTGAAGCCTTGATGTAGAAATTTCAAAGCAGTTTTTAAAATCTCAAGTCTTGGAGAAACCTATAAGAGGAGTGAATTTGTGAGATTTACCTTTGTTGCCAACAGAAAAGTAACCTCAAAGCACAATTGTTGAATCTCCCAAACCAAATATCTTTGCACATCTCCGCACTTTCTCTCGCCCCTCCTGTTACCCCCTCCCTTCATCAGCCCTGACCGTAGGTTTGAGGACACTAACCAAGCTTTCTTCCCTTCAAATATTCGAAACGCTCTCCAGGTTCTTTCTGTATGTTCAAGATTTTTGAATTTCTGAATAGTTCTTAAAAATCGAATGGAGATTTATATGTTCAGAAAGTCAAGTGATGTGTGGAGAGAATCAAAAGACAGTGAGTTCTGCAGAATAGAGTGAGAATAATGGGAAGTTGAGCAGAGTGGGGATAACTTTTATGCTTGGGATCAGTTCAGAGAACTTGATAGATAATGACAGAAGATTCAGGCTGAGTGTTGCCAGAAATACAGAACTTATAGACCGAAGAGAGAAAACTTCAGTGTTTTATGAAACAGGATAGAAGCAATAGATGGATACGCGTCAGTATCACTAGACTGTATCATAATGTAGAGGTTAAGGCTAGTTCTGTCCTCTTTCTGCTTTGTCAAGGATGCATCGTAACCTCTTTTATCTCATGTTTCGGAGAAACTTAATTGCTCCAATGGACATTTGATTGAGTCTTCTGTTATACAAAATATTACTGTTAGTCAAAGAATGTTCTACTACATAAAGTATGGGGTTCTACTCCAGAAACCTCGGAGCATTGTGAAGAAGACCAATAGCAGTTTCTGGTCTCCTCTATTCCCTCGAGGGACACATAAGAGGAAAGCTGCAATCTTTATTCGTCTTGAAAGCTCTCATAATACAGACAATACATGGCCAGCATGATTAGAAGAAAAAACAACAACAACAACTACAGAGAGAAACCACAACAGTAATGGCAATTGCAATGACAATGACACTAGACACGGCAATGGTCGAACATTACATTTCGTGAATTCTATGCATTCATGGTATCAATTATTCTCGTTAACTTTTATCTGCATGGAGTTTCTATTACAAAAGAATTGCAACCCACAAATTTAGCATTGGCACTAACAATGCACTAGATGATTGTATGGCGCAAAATATTCTGAACAGCTCGATTCAGATCATTTCAACATTTCGACCTTTTACCTTTAACCAAGAATGCTTTTGAGCACCTTGATTTGCTCCTCAACGCTTGACTTGCTGGTACCGCCAGCCGCTTGGCGCGCTTCTACACTCTTCTCATAGTCAAAGCATTCAGAAACATCCTCCTTGAAACGGCTATCAATGCTCTTCAGTTGATCATATGTCAATTGGTCCATTGGAATCTTAGTCTTCTCGGAGTATGCGACGACTTGTCCAGAGATGTGGTGCTATTTTCAATATTAGCACTTGTTTGATCATACCTTAGAAGAATGAAAGGCTACTTACAGTCTCTCGGAATGGTACACCTGCTCGTACTAAATAATCTGCTAAGTCGGTGGCCTAAGAATGATCCCCTTGATTAGCGAGAGCACACCCAAAATACGCTAGGCTCGATAGCACTTCAACGAATTATATTCTTGAATTGACTTACGAGCATGAATGGGTCTAGCGAAGCCTTCATCTTCTCTGGATTGATAGTCAACGTGCTGAGAACGCCGGTTGCAATCTGGATACTGTCTCCAACTGTCTTAATGTGATCCAACATTGGCTCCACACTCTCTTGGAGATCCTTGTTGTAAGTACTTGGAAGACCCTAATATGATCGATCAGTATATTGTCATATTACCAAATGACAGTGGAGAAATACCTTGATGGTCATCATCAAACCTGCCATTTGACCGAACGCTCTGCCGGATTTACCCCTCAATAGTTCCAAACTGTCACTGTTCTTCTTTTGGGGCATCAGAGATGACTATCGATGTTAGTTCAAGAGTCTACGTAGATCTTGGAAGGTAGGACGTACTCCTGTGGAGTAGGCATCAGCCAGACGAACGAAGCTAAATTCACCGGTACCATAGATGATAAGATCCTCAGCCCATCTTGATAAATGTGACATGAGAGTAGCACCCCATTGCATGGTCTCAACGACAAAATCACGGTCGCCGACTGCCGACATAGAATTCCACAAAAGACCTTCAAAACCAAGCTCCTCGGCCATTGCCTCACGATCGATGTTGAAAGGGTTACCAGCCAAAGCACCACATCCTAATGGCGATCGATTGACTCGCTTGATAACTTCTCGCAATCTTTGGAGATCAGTTGCAAAAGCCGAACCGTATGACAACATCCAGTGACTCCATCTGATGGGTTGAGCACGTTGCAAGTGAGTATATCCTGGCATGATATGTTCAATCTCGTTCTCTGATCTGGCAGCCACAACCTTCAAGTAATCGACTAAGAAGCTCTCAATCTTTTTGAGCTCATCCCTAAGCCACAATCGCATATCTGTTGCAACTTGCTCATTTCGACTTCTTCCAGTGTGTAATTTCCCTCCAATCTCTTTGCCAATAATTTCGCCTAGTCTTCTCTCATTTGCAGTATGAATATCCTCGTCCACACCAGGAATGATCTTGAACGTGCCAGCGACCCATTCTTCCTCGACTTGCTTCAATCCGGACTCAATTGCTGCGAATTCGGCTTCAGTCAAGATGCCATTCTTGTGGTTTGCACGAGCCCAAGCAATACTACCCCGAATATCCTGGGTATGGAATGCACGATCGTAGTAGATTGATTCGTTGTAAGAGACCATGAGAGGATCAAGACCACCTATTGAACTGTCAGTAAGAAATTGAGCTCAATCAAAGAGATATGAGTCAAACAAACCAGTAAATCGACCACCCCACAACATATTCTCTCCAGGTTTGCTACCTGGAGCTCTAACTTGTTCTGAAGCCATAATTTTATAAAACAGAATGAATTGACCACAAAATGTAAGTAAATGTAATACAAGACCTTATCGTCGCTGTAAGTATTGGTTGCTTGACATAAAATCAAATATGGACGGGAATGCTAAGAAACTATTGATAATAGTATTGCGATAGCTAAAAATTTATTGAGGGGTGGTTCCTGATTGCATCGGAGGACGGTGCTACGTTAATCCTTGCTAGCGCCCGCCTTGTGAGAACTACGGCAAACGACAACTCATCAATTGCTGTTTCATATCAAATCCAAATCTCAACTCTCCACCGCTTTAATTCTACCACGTATCTACCGAGTACTGCTCCCAATACCCGAAGAGTTGATTTTGGAAGAGTATTGAAGAAGCACAAATTCACAAGGGCATTGATTCATATACTGCTTTTAAATATGGCTTCGTTTCCCAACATTTGGAATCATCGTAAGGTGGCCGACACCGCTTCTAAGCCTTGTGAGATTTGCTATAAACCTAGTGCAAGTGTTCTGATAACTCCAGAAAACAAGGTGGATATTGTCATCCTTTATTTTGAAGTGATCGCTTAACAACTCTTGTTAGGACTTCTTTTATGTATGCCCATCCCATTTAAAGGATGAAGGATTTGCTACACCCATTATAGATGAGGCTGCTATCGCTTCTAAGAAAAAGAAAGAGATGGACGACGAGATCGCACGTGTGAAGCAGGAGTTCGAAGAGAAGCAGAAGAGGAAGAAGGAGAAAGAAACTTCGAAGAAAGACGAGAAGGAGAAGAATAGTGAAGATAAAAAGGATGAAGGGAAAAAAGTCGAGAAGAAGACTGATGAGAAGGTATGCATAACGCTTGGCCATTCTCCATCTTATACCTACTAATATTTCACTTGTATCTTTAGGAGAAGTCAGGCACTCCTGTATCACCAGCACCAAGTCCAACAGCAGATGAAGAACCTAGAGTCTTTTCTCTAAAAAAGGCGTTCTATCAACAGAGACTGGATAAAAAGAGGCAGGCGGAAGTTGCAAAACGAAATCGTGAACGTCTCCAAAATCCGAATTTATTTCCACAAGTCCCTAAAGGCTTACCTTGAGCTGGGATAATCATCTCAAATGATCAGCGCTCCTACTTAAGTGGGAGAGATTCCAACAGAGCCATCGTGGATTTGTCAGTGTTCCTTGTGACGGTGGTGATTTTGCAAAGTCACTCAAAAACAGGAGATTCGGACCGTACTTGCCAACAACATTCGTTCTTACATTCTCGAGTCAAGGAAGCGTCTTATTAGTCAGAAATTCACCCTCACGCAAACTTTACTCGTTCTTGATATACTGGCTGGGGAATGTAACACGCGAGTTTGATGGAGTCACTTAAAATGGTAAGGCCCGTTTCGTACACGTCATATAATTGACTACTAATGAGAGTTGCAGCATCGTATGTTCATGAGGTCCTTCTGCTGACTGCATATGATCGACCCGTTGGGAAGGTGGTCAATGCATCTAAGTTGGAGTTGAGTATGGATGAGTTGAAATTTACCGGGGCAGTCCTCCTTGTACTTACTATCCTGTATATAAAGCTTCATCAGGCTACTTTTCACGGCAGTCATCAGGCTAGACCGCGCGGTATCTTCCTTGTCAGGCAACCGAGTGAAAGAGCGGTGCCATCCCGCATTTATCTACCTCGTACAGAACGCCGTGAAGGTACATACGTGCTTACATGTTAGAAAGCTAACCCTGCTTATCTCAAGCCATTCTAAGCTTCTTTCACTTCCCTGCAATAGTTGTTTCCCATATCCACTATTCTCGCTTGAAAATTTATTGTTAGTGCTTATTTTCAGCCTTCAAAATCCTTAGGAGAAGCCACTTACCCCGGTACACACTTTGCAATACTCTCCAGCTACTCACTTGGTTGTCACTTCGCTTCTCTTATCCATAAGCTCATCTAGTCTCAATTGCCATATTGCATTGCTAAACCGATCAGTCTCGTCATTTCACTAGTCATAGGGCTTTAAAAATGTCATCCGGATCTAATTGAATGCTTATCATTTCCTTATGCTCATCGATCATGTCCTGTAGTCAGACGGCTGAATGAGCAACCGCCAGTATCCTTTACCCCGCATATCTAACGATGCAGTGCTACCCCGGTCATCTTTTCAATCAACGATGGCATCATTGGATAGACGCAGCAATGTCTTGCAGAGTTAAGACCGCACGACTTTGCTCTGCTGGTCATTGTACGTAAAATATATGTATGTATTTACTCGGTGAAACGTTCATTTCGGAAAGTCCACTGCGAACAGAAAGCCTTCCGTAAATCTATCACATTTTCACGGCTGACTTGCATGCATATGAGCATTCTATTACACTTTAAATATCATGCTCGGTTCCTTTCTTCCTTCTCTGCCTGAGGTATGCCTGTGCATCCGTTTGTTATATCACACTCCACTCCGCTTACGGAGCCTAACATATCTGGTCTCATCCTGCCTCGCTCAAGCTGAGTCATCCTGAATATCAATTCATCCTACTACCAGACTCCTTCCTTCACTACTGCATAGATTCCTGGTTATATGAAATGTAAGCATAAACGGACCCGGCAACTTGGTTAAAGTTAGAACGTTATGTATACGTGAAGAATGGAGCCAATAATCCTACGCTGTTACGGTGTGTTTAGGATTTTTTTCGCTGTATCTAACGATAAAGGAAGTACTGGGATGAATAAAAAGAGCGTGCGTCTTACTGGAGAGCGGGACAATGGTGTAAATGAGGCCAATCCTGGACGATTTGATCCATACAAAGGGGCCTATTAGTTCGGGAAGGAGGTTATACCACATTATGTATAATGATATAATATGATATACTAAATGCTTTTTCAATTATCTGAAATAAGCTTCATTTACGTTAGGAATAGATGAGGTCATTCTCTCAAGTCTTCATCTGTTTTAAACATCTAGACAGAAGTATATAGAGCATGACAAAAGTTTCCTAATCCATATGACGCACTTTACAAAGAATCCATTGACCCCTACACAGATTCACAATCTGCCAGATAAAGCATCTAGACCCATTTGTTCTGAACCGTCTTCCCGCTTACGTTTCGATTCTTTACCCACCCCCACACCCATACCAGAAATCCATTCCTTCATCATCCGCTCGATGCGCCTGCTATCCGCGCAAACACAACCCAGCATTACACAAACGGGGCCAGGCAATCCAATCCATCACCTCTCGGTCGTTCCGCAAATACTACTTTGACATTTTTTGACACTGAAAATTTCGAAATCCGAACTTTCCGATTCCTTGCAATTGCCTAAACTTTTTCTACTTGTTTTTTTGGCTTCTGGTTTTTCGTTTTCAAATTTGAATGTCACATGTGCAGGATGAAGAATGTTTAGAACTACGTATATGCTGTATGCATATGCAGGCATTGATGCAGGTGGTAGCAGTGTATGTATCTCGTGAATAGTGTGTAATAGAACTAAGATGATAGGGCGGAATAAGCCAGACACATGGCCCTGCAATCTAGTCTCCTCAACTTCCTATTATATCACATCTTACAATTCCTGTCTAGTACCGTACGGTAACGTGCCGCGGTTATGTCCATTCATACATATGTACATACATGCATACACATTTTGTCACCTCGCCCGCGCGGCAGCATCAATCATTCCAGGACCAACCCCCATCCCCAGTCTACAAACTTCCCTTCTCCCTCTCTAACGTAGTTCCACTTCCTCTCATCCCAGGAGGCAACCTAATACCCCCGCTCCCACCTTCCACCCTCTTTCCGATCGTGACCTCATCACATCTTCCCTTCAACAAACTGAAAGCCGGGCAAACCCATACTCCACAACTACATCGCATCCCCTGCCAAGCATACTTTCCAACTTGGGCTTTGCATTTTTGGTTTGGACATTCGAGTCTTCCGGATAAGTTTCCGAGTTCGAGTTCGGGACGCATCCAGGAGAGAGGGTGTAAGAAATGGTGAGTACAAGTGCTGTGGTGGGGAGTGGAAGCAAGGGAGGAAATGGGTGTTGTCTGAGGATTAACGAGGGAGGTGGGAGAAGATGTGAATTTTGAGGTGGGTGTGTGAGGTATCAGGTAAGGGGTTGTGACGAGGTTGCGGCTAGGATATTGTTAGTTTAATGATTATGTTTCTCCGCTGCTTATTGATAACGACAATGTATGACAAAGAAATAAAAAATGAGTGAAGAAAAAGAAAAGGGAAAGCTTACCGACACATTCTACATCTGATCTCCTTTTCTTTACCGTCTGCCTTCTGTTTATCCTGCTCTTCTTCGTCCTCAAATCTTACCCAATCAGGTCGTCCTCCAGTGGCCACAGCCAACTCAACCTCTCTTTGATACAACCATCTTTGATACTTAGGCTGATCATCTATGTTTCTCGGGCAGCCCATTTCGTGATATAACTGGAGCTGCGCCATAAATCCATCATTAGGCTCAGCAAAAGGACGTGTTTGTTGAATTTGTGCAAGCGCAGTATGGGGAGTGAGTGAGGGATATTGACGGAGGAGGTAGGCGATTAAAATGGTTACAGAACGGGAGCGACCCATCGCGCTAATAGGTGTCAGTGTTTGACATATGTTATTCAAAGATAGGAACAAGGAGTCATGAGCAGAGAAACACCACTTGACTTCTCCTTTTGAAATCCAATGACATGCTTCCGTGTCAACTACAATGATAGCAATGACTTTGGTTTTCAGGACAAACAACATAAAGTGTTCTAACTTACCAATGAACAAGCACAGCACTCTTCTTCTTCTCGCCCTCATCACCCTCAAGTCTCCCATTGCCCTTTAAAGCCTCTTCAATCCAAGCTCCCGTCGTCTCAAATTCACCCAGCAAATTCTCGTCCTCTACATCATCCACTTCGATCTGGAGGTGTTTGTACTTATTCCAATCGATATTGAAGTTCTTGAAATCGTACTTCAGAACACTGACAATGTGTGTGATGTTGTTCTTTTGGAGAGAGTTCTCCGTCAACGAGACGATCCTATTTTATGTTAAATCTGTCTTTCTCTTATATCATCCCAAGAACAGCAGACAATAGTCAGAGATCCTCCGCAACATTCGAGCGAAAAGGTCGAAAAATCAAAGCAATATCACGTGCGCGGGGCGAACGCTCGAAAGTAAATGTACATACCCTCCAACATACAACTCATCCTCCCCTGATAATCTCGAAGGTTCTGTATTCATCTTAAGATTCTGTCTCAAATTCCGTACTTTCTGTATCTGTTCCTGTAACTGTCTGTCTTCCAGATTTGGCGAGTCTTCAATTGACGTTGATGTTGACGTCGCCACCTTGATCGAGCAAACCCTGTGTAACCTCGAGATAGCAAGTCAAACAATCTCAAATCCTCGCTTATGACCAGCAATGTACTTGCAAAAAGGGGGGGAGCGTATTCAATTAAGATCAGGTGATAAGATATTGTTGGTATGCAGTCCACACTCAAGGGTCTCTTTCTTCAAGCTTGTGTACATTTAGAAAATTCCAAATTGTTCTTTTGCTCTTTCACCCCGCCTTACCGGTTAAGTCTCGGCGTTCGGAACTGCCGATCCCTCACTCGTAAAATTTGCCTTAGGCCAAACTTTAAAATCAGCCTTAAAACTTTGAGAAACGCCATCGAATCAACATAAAGTTAAAATTTCTGCACGGAGAAGTATTTTCCCTCACGAGATCTTGTCTTGTTCTGTGTTTCGGCAGTTTGATTACAGAGCGGCAGATGAAACATCCGGTACGCAACATTCAGTATCATTTGTGCGCATACATGTAGTGCCAGTGTTACCATCTAGTATTTTACGTGAAGATAGTCAGGAGACGATTAACGAAATTGCATTTTGTAGATGAATCTACACTGCACTGATGTCCATACGATGAGACTTTCGGAGTACTCCTTCGGGGCTAAAAAGCACAAGCACGAGAATCTTCTCATCGGGCCGAGTCCGGGCTAAGAAATACTTACTTTTAGGGATTTTGGCCGCCGTGGAGATATCAACACAAGGTGGACGAGATCAGATTGAGTTTTTCAGGGGTAAACTGGGGATGGATGTCGGGTATTATTAGGTCCATATCTCCGAAAACTACAAGGCTGTCATGATAAACGATGATTAGACTCATCAAACTTTGTAATTCATATCGGTGCTACTGATATCGGTGATAGTTCTCTGGTGAGAATCGAAGGAATGAGAATGTTGGCCGAAATGAACATACAACAATATGTCTTGTTAGACGATCAATAACACAATGAAACGTTGCGCGATTTATTGTACCATTAGCCAACAGGCTGTAATATCTCCGAAGGTTGGAATTGTCTTAGATTTTGTTGATCACCAAACACGCAGACATCTCAACATAAGACATAATCATGAGTAAGTAAATGATGTTCGGTTCAGAACACCCGACTCGAGGATGATCTAACTCACGTAGCACAAACATGGCATCAACCCCCGTTCGTCCGCCTACCGAAAGCCCTACCCGATATTATCCATATGCAACACATATTGTATCTACTCGAAATAACTAAGGCTGACCAGTCCAGCCAGTCCAACATAAACTCACATGTAGCCAAGAAAAACCACCAGCATGTGCATACGCAATCAAATCATCAAAAAAAATCGTGTCAATCCAGACTCCAGATCATCCCCGTACCAATAAACGGACGATTGGCGATGTGTGTCCCAAAAGCGGAAAAGTGTTGTGATACGACACCTCGTGTTTCGCTTCGACATCCCGCATGTGTGCCAGAGATTCAGCCTTCTTTTTCGCCCTATGGGGCCGTACTTCACTTGAGCCTGGTACTGTGCTACGAGGCGCTAGAGGCGGGCGTTCATAAGGTTGGCCAAGGGATAAAAAGAAAACGGGAAATTTGTTACATGAGCATGGGTTTTGTGTAACATTTCTACCTATACAAATTGACTGAATGGAAAGATCTGGATGGCTTGGCATTTAGCTGAAAATTGAAAAATATATACTGTCCGTATTCGAGATTTAGGCATTTTCATCTCTTGCATGCAGGTCAATCAATGAAAGACGATACCAGAACATACAGTATATTAGATGACCTTATACGGCAATTATGTATCTTACGATACTGTATGATGGCCACCTTAGAACGTAATCTAGCCCCATCGCCAATGTCATCAGCGGCTGGTCAGAACATGGGTTGCAATTTGCACCCATCTACCGAATGTTTTTCAGCCCTTTGTTCTAGATCTGGTAGAGACATCCACCTGTGGTCGATTCACCGCTTAGATTGATACATGCTCACGGGACATTGCTATTTTGCAATTAAACGAATTGGCTGGCGAATGTAAGTGTAGAAAACTAGGCAGATGTAAATCGGGGGCGTTTATGGGAAAGCTGGATATACATGTTTCTGTACACACTGTAGCCTTGTCCTGCTGGAAACGTTGGTTTGGGGGCAAGATCTAGTTTCCTGGATGCTTATTATATTGGTTCTTCTAAGATGAGATCTACTCGTACCCCTTCTCAATACTCAATTCACGAACGTGATTGGTGCAATGCAAGTTTTCGCCTCAATACCGGTGTGTGAAGATTCGTATGCCAAACAAGATTAATCAGATAACAGTCAGCTTTAGTCGTATCTTGAGATCAGTAATAGGTTGAAAGTAAATGAAGTCCTGAGAGAAAACAACGAGATTCGTCCCCGCAATATGAGATGGTGGCTGAGACTCTCGAGGCACTCTGCGTGAACTTTGAGCTTATCCACCTCCCTCTTACCTAAACCCAAATTTAGCAGATCTAGATTTCTGTCTATCTGTGATCAACATCTCACTTCTCTCGCCTGCCATTTCCCACTTCCACACACTCCCTTGCAACGCTGATCTAGTACACACCATTCAAGTTCAATCCCATCTTCATGATTCATCACAACATCGTGAGATAGCCTCCCGCTCCCAAATAAAAATTTCAGGTCGCCGACTTTTAGAAACTTCTTGGTAGCCGATCATTAATGAAAGTAAGCATCTTGGCGACACGATACGGTCACGCAGAGCCTCTACTCACTAAATATTAGCAAAGCTTGGAACATGGCAATGACTTCAATCAAGCTTGTTACTCGTCCCGCTCGAGGCTCGGTAATTATCCTCAATCCAGATGTATGGCTGTGATGTGATGTGATCACGTATCCCTGATCACTGTCACTGATTGCCAGGGGTTATTCATTTTATTCACGTTTCTGGAACCTCGGGGCTATTTAGAATAAGCCTTGTAGGGCTAGGAAGTACCCGACAATGGACTGACTGTATTAGGAAAGCATCCCGGTGGTTATATCAAAAATTGGCGTTGAGTTTCCTTGGTGATAGCAATGAGATTTAACGAATAGACTGCATGAGAGTGGGATTGATGGATTTTTGTGTCAGTATGGGATCAAGATGATGTTTTTGATTGTTGAATGAATTTAATAATCATTACTTGATTATATGCATGTTACTATTCTTCCACGACTAATAAGTTGGCCGGACAAAGAGGATGCAAAGTAGGTAGGCTCAAGGCGGGGAAACCTAGGAATGACTATTCTAATCACAGGTGACAGGTAGCCCGCGCGCGACCACCTCCTACTTCCCCATTTATTATCATCGGCTCTACCGAGTTGCCCCTTCATCTTCACTTCGTCGAAATCCGTACAGGGTCACGATTCACGATGTAGCTCTTACTGCCGGATTACATGACAGCAAAAAATGCGTGAATAATGATTACTCACCCGTGACCTAAGCTACCATCGTAGGATTCCAATCCACGTCGACGGGTAAGGTTCAGAGATTCCAAGGGATATGCTGTGCCACCAACGGGCTTACCGTATCCAACCTTATTTTCTTTTGGATTATCGATTATTGATTCCGGATTGATTCTGAATTGTTTATTTGGATCGTGGTCGTAGGTCGTACTTCGTACTATGCGGAATCCTTAAGTTGAGAACAAAATATTGGAAATAACAAGCGATAGTACTGGAATTCTCAAGCTCATGTCTTCTCATTAATCCCACCTTTTCCTCCCCTACAACTTAAAAGCTCCCCATGGAACAAACCCCATCGCACTAAAGAAATACTTAAATACCTCGGTTGGTGGAGCTCACTAGTCCGGTCTGAGGTACTCAGCCCTGATCAATCTAGCTTAGATCACTATCAAAGCGTACTAAGTGGTTGTCTGTTGAACTTTTCACAGGGCTGCGTTGGATGCGGTATTCGTTAGAAAGTAGAATGCCGAGTTGACAGTGAAAATGGGGGTGGTTTGGGGTGTTTTGCCTTTTACCTCTTGCATAAATTCCATGTAGGTTTATAGACATTATCATGCCGGATTAGCTGGAATAGGGAAATCGAAAGTTATCACCACTCGGTGCTACAGATTATTGTCTATCCTATCTCTATCTATCTATCTATCTATCAACAATAAAGTAGATTTATCCTTAGCTAATCACTCAATATTTCTCCTTCAGAAGAGTTCCATCATCAATCCGCATACTATCACAATCTAATTTCCCATCTCCATTTTTTCACACAGACACGGAAACGGCCTTATAAGGATGGATTCAAACTATCAACTCGCACCCACGCACCAGTGAATAGCTTCCAAAAGAAGGCCAGAGAGTCGGGACCGACATTGTGGTTTCTCACCCATCCACAGCACTACTGTACGCTCGAGCAAATTGCACGGAGTAGCATGGAATTGGATCCTAGACCCTTGAGTTTGTGCATGGCTGGTATGAAAGGGAGTTAGAGTGGAGAGCTGACTGTTATTTATGACGTTTTGGTGATTGTAAGGAGAGACATTACTCCGTTCCTCATATATCACTGAAATAGAAAGTAGATAGTTAGATATAATCCAATTTAAGCAGATCAATTATATTGTATGATACAATCTGAATAATCGTTTACAAAATAGACAACCAGTTCAATAATATGGCTGCACAACTCTTTTTCCCCTTTCGTTTATTTTACGTGAAATATACATAAAGCTCGACTCTTTTGCATGTGCTGGATTTGGATACCTACATGGTATTGAATCCTACAGTCCTAACAAAGAATGGTACATATATAAAGTACCTACAGTAGTGTATTATTATATGTCATGTAATGCCCGCGAAAGACTTAGAAATGTCGACAAGATTACTCGAGATTGGCGTGAAGAGGGGAGCTCGGACCGATCAAACATGTGTGTACATGAAAACCCAAAGAAAGCAGAGAAGGAACAAATGAAGAGTACAACGCCCGAACTCATTTCGCCTTGAAAGGCTGATGGGGATCATCCACCCCGTGCCGGTATACCTTCCTTATCTTACCCTGCTCTGATTGTATGTTCGTTATTTGACTGTTCCTATGCATGCCCTCCCTCGTACGTACACTACATGAGGATATGCAAGCAAGCAAGCTTTGCTTCCCGAGTCCGTATCTTTGCATTTGTGTGTATTTCGTGCCACCTACTAACTCCCTGTCTATTGTGGTTTTCTTCCAATAAAAACATCGAGTTGATGCATCGAGAGTTGTTGATATGGGTGCAACGAATGATTCGCACGCGTGAGATGGGAATGAAGATTCTGACGTTGTATTGCGTTACCAGATTGAGG